TGTGTTTCAGAGTCGTCTGTGGTGGACAGTAGTACTGTGTGTACTTGTACTTCTCTGACTGCAGTACTGCGTGTACTTGTACTTGTGTTTCAGAGTCGTCTGTGTGGACAGTAGTACTGTGTGTACTTGTACTTCTCTGACTGCAGTACTGCGTGTACTTGTACTTGTGTTTCAGAGTCGTCTGTGGTGGACAGTAGTACTGTGTGTACTTGTACTTCTCTGACTGCAGTACTGCGTGTACTTGTGTTTCAGAGTCGTCTGTGGTGGACAGTAGTACTGTGTGTACTTGTACTTCTCTGACTGCAGTACTGCGTGTACTTGTACTTGTGTTTCAGAGTCGTCTGTGGTGGACAGTCTGAGGAGCAGGTATAATTTCATCGCAGACGTGGTGGAGAAAATCGCTCCGGCCGTCGTTCACATCGAACTCTACAGGAAGTAAGAGACTGACATTTATTTAAACAGCCCCAAACTCTCTGTTCCACCTGGTGACGTCATCATGTGGCCATACAGGAAGTGCTCCACTGTGTTTTTAAACTAGAATCATCTGGATCATTTCAGTGAATCTGGACTCACCTCGACTGAACTAAGAGCTGTTCACTTCATGACATCACAAGGTGGAACAGAGAGTTTGGAGCTTTGGGGATGTAACAGACTCAGAATAAAGAAACACTCAAACATGTGAAACAAACAAACACGACCACAAAGTCTGTGAAAATGAAAATAACAAACATCCATTTTACTCAAAACAGTGAAAATGTCGACAAAAAGTTTAGAAAAATACACCTAAAAATACTTAAAAAATCCTCTTGGAGATGAAGGCTGAGATTATTAAGAAGTTACCGATACGATACACACTGTAACTCGATACAGTGAGCTTTCGATTTGATTCGATATATTTCAAATCAATTCGATATGGTTCAATAAAAATCAAGTCTAAATCTCGTCTTTGACACTAAAAGTTTTTGTTAAATCGCGTCTTGTACAAAGTTCATCAGCAACACAAACATTTTAATCATCAAATGTGTCGCATCAACAACTTTCCAAAACTGTTGCTGTAACAAAATAAATTAGTAAAAATAAACCAAAAAAATCCTCTTGGTGATATATCGATACAGCAGCCCACGATATCGATACTGAATCATCACATTGAACAACACGATATTTCGATATTTCAATATTTTTGCACAGCCTTAATCTTAAAGTGTAATTTTAAATGCATTTTTACAAATTATTATTATAAATTTGACTTGTTTTTGTATCAATACCTGCGAAAAATGAGGATCTAGTGTCAATATTAGTTTTATTATCGATTATTATGTGATTATCGATCCTTTTTTCCACACAAACACTCTTACGTAACGCCCAGACTGTGTAAAGTTGTATAATCCTGTGATTTATTCCGGCTCATCATTAATGAAGTTGTTCTTGAAGTTTGTAAAAGTGCGTCAGTCCCTCCCTCATGACAGAGTCTCCAACTGTCTCCTCCGCTTTAACAAATCCATCTTTTCTTTCTTCACTCCTTTGACTTTCTGTGGCGTCCAGCGTTGACGTGATCACGCCCTTCCTCTCGAGGTTAGTCCAGATCTGGGTCCGGTCCCGTCCCTTTGCTCCAAAATCATGATCTCATTTCTCATTTTTAATATTTGTGGATCTGAGTTTGGATTTTCGCCCAAATCCTCAGAGTCCAGAGATTATGAAATCGTAGAGTTACAGTTTAGTCCAGGTTTAGTCCAGTTATAGTCCTGTTTTAATCCCATTTTGATCCCATTTTAGTCCTGGTTCAGTCCTGGTTCAGTCCTGGTTAAGTCCAGATATAGTCCTGGTTTAGTTCTGTTATAATCCAGTTATAGTCCTGGTTTAGTTCTGTTATAATCCAGTTTTAGTCCTGTTTTAGTCCTGGTTCAGTCCTGGTTTAGTCCTGGTTTAGTCCTGGTTCAGTCCTGGTTAAGTCCAGTTATAGTCCTGGTTTAGGTCTGTTATAATCCAGTTATAGTCCTGGTTTAGTTCTGTTATAATCCAGTTATAGTCCTGTTTTAGTCCAGTTATAGTCCTGGTTTAGTTCTGTTATAATCCAGTTATAGTCCTGTTTTAGTCCTGTTATAGTCCTGGTTTAGTCCTGTTATAGTCCTGGTTCAGACGTGGTTTAGTCCTGGTTTAGTCCTGTTTTAGTCCTGATTTAGTCCTGTTTTGTCCTGTTGTATAATCCTGGTTTAGTCCCAGTTCCTCTCCTGTTTTCCTGAACTGTTTCCCCCTTGTTTCTGGTCTTTGTCCGTCTCTCATTTGTTTTAGTCCTGGTTCAGTCCTGGTTCAGTCCTGGTTTAGTCCCTGTTATATAATCCTGGTTCAGTCCTGAGATATAGTCCTGGCTTAGTCCTGTTCCAGTCCTGGTTTGGTCCCTGTTTTCCTGAGGTGTTTCTCTTTTGTTTCTGGTGCGTGTCCGTCTCTCATCAGGAGCATTTTTGGAGGATGAGGAAACTTTCTGAAAACATTGTTAAACTTCCACAATCCCTCAGTGACCCAAACATGTTTGTGTCGCCACGGAAACGCAGTCACGCCATCCGATGCTCTCACCGAATATTAACACGATCACGAACACCAGGGGCTTTCCTGGTTCAGTCCTGGTCTGGTCCAAGTTCTGTCGAGGATCAGCCCTGGTTTGGTCCAGTTTTTACTTCAGCTCTGGTTTAGACCTGGTTTAGACCTGGTTTTGGACCACAGACTCTCTAAAGAAGTGGATTAAATGTGACGTCCCCCACAGAGTTCAGCTCCAGTCAAATGAAGCTCACTGAGGCAGTTATAGGGGGAAGTTGGAGCTGAGTTCCATATTAGGAATTACGAGCGTTTGTATCAGAGCAACTAAAGAGACAACAGAACTTTTTCACGACGGTCGGAAGGTTGTGGAACGTCCAGTTAAAGTTTTTCTGTGTAAATGTGTGTGTAAATGTGTGTGTAAATGTGTGTGTAAATGTGTGTGTAAATGTGTGTGTAAGTGTGTGTCGTGTTCTCCAGCAGTTTCATAAATCTGCTCCATCACCAAATCTTCAACCAACAAACTCCACAAAGAATAAACATTCTTCATGAACAATTTATCCACAAAAATCAAGAGAAGAAAGAACAAAACTTAAACTGCAAAAAAACTCGGCCAAAATGTAAGATGTAAACACTTAAATCTCTCAGAAAATAACTTAAAAGTACAGAAATAATGTGTCCACGCATCAAGTTCTCTTCAAATAAACGACGTCCAGACGAGAATGAAGCGTCTCAGAACGAGTGAGTAGAAAATAAATCTGAAAACAAAATGATGAACCTGATAGAAGTTTGAAAATCTCGACCAAATCAGAGAAATGTTCAGAGTAAAGGAACAACAACAATGACGAGCTTTATCGAACGTTCTGATCATGAAGAAAACAGAAGGAACTTGTTCACTCAGACTCATTCTTCAATTAAAACAAAAAACCGAGTTCATGATGTGGAGATTTGCACAGACTCAGAGATTTGTGCAGTTTAAATGTGAGACGTGGAACTGTGAACATCTGTAGGATTTAAATCTCTGTCTGTGTCACATCATGAACTCGATTTTTAGTTTTAATTCTGGAACGAGTCTGAGTGAAAAAGTTCTTCTGTTTTCTTCAGGATCAGAACATGAGTTGAGTTTGTGTCTCGTTGTTTCCTTTAAGTTTTGTTCTTTCTTCTCTTGATATTTGGGGATAAATTGTTCATGAAGAATGTTTCTCCTTTGTGGAGTTTGTTGGTTCAAGATTTTACACACATTTACACACACACACAGTCAGTGCTGGGAGTGTTACTTTTAAAATGTAATCCCCTACAGATTACAGATTACACACACCAAAATGTAGTTTGTAACAGAATCCATTCAATTACTTAAAGTGAGTAATGTAATCTGATTACTTTGGATTACTTGATTTGCTGTAGAGAAACAAAGACGAGGAAATCTTCACATAAGAAGTTTTGTTTGATAAAAGAAAATAAAAAGTCCAGACTTTATTTAACTAAATCAAAAATATTATTGATAGAAAACGAAGAAACATGTCCACACAGCAGGAGTTAGTCCTGGTTTAGACCTGGTTTAGATCTCGTTTAGATCTAGTTTAGATCTACTTTTAGTCCTGTTTTAGTCCTGGTTTTAGTCCTGGTTTTAGACCAGTTTTAGACCTGGTTTAGTTTTCGGGAATGAGTGGAATTACCGGGGGAGGAAAAAAAAAAGGGATTTAGCTCAAAATGTGAAAACAGTAAAATCCCTCTGTGTAATCCATTTATTTCAACAAAGTAACTGTAATCCAATTACCACTCACTGAAACAGTAACTGTAACTGAATACAGTTACTCATCATTTGTACTCTGATTACATAACTCCAGTGCATGTAATCTGTTACTCCCGACACTGGACACACATTTACACAGAAGAACATTAACCGGACGTTCCACAAACCTCCAGCCAGACACTTCAGACTCGTGTGAACAGGTTTTCTCAGGAGCGACGAGGTTGAAGGTTTCGCCTCTTCCCACTCGCTCAATCAAACCTGTTGTTAATCCGACTTGACTTCAGGGAAAGAAGGCGTCTGATTGGTCTGTTATTAATGTTCAGATCTTTATTTATATTTATAAATTGCGAAATAAAAACCCCAGGATCATGTAGAGTCGAGCAGGTTCAGACCTAAAATCTAATAAGTCGACCTTACTTGAAAAATTCTAGGAAACCGATTGCACAGAGGGAGGATACAGAGACGTCCCGGGATGATCCGGGAATGAGCGGCAGCTGTAGGACAAACAGGAAGACCCGGAACAGACTGGGAATTGGATCTGGACTCTTGTCAATAACACGTCACTGTTGAATTTACTCGTCTCAAGTTGGTCAGAGTTTAATTGACAGTAATGTGCGTTTTTCACCCTGAACGTCTCTGTTACTTTACCACAAACATGAGGCAACGTTTATATGACGACGTTTGAACAGACGACACAAAAGTGGAGTGGAGAAAGTGTGGAGTTGGATTGTGTGTGATGCCAGGCGGCGACGCTCGGCGGCGACGCTCGGTGGAGATGTTTGTGACGTAAACACATACACGACCTGAGCACATGTGACCAGAGTTTTGTGTCTTGGGCAGTGTAGACGGAAACTCTACAATGGAGAATATTCAGCTTTTCCACTCTGGAGGGAAGTTTCAGATATTTGTGTTTTTAAGCCCCAAAACACCGTCACCGTCTAAACCAGGAGAGTCAAACTCATGTTGTTCTGGGGGTCGTGTCCAACCGACTTTGATCTCAAAGTGTCCAGATCAGAAAACTCATGTCATATAAACCCCAAAAATAACAAGAAGTTCAAATATTTGTGCAGAGAAACACAAATCTATTACACAAATCTTTTTAGCTGATGAACTCTTTCTTTTACAAAATATTATAATATTATGAACAACCTGAAACTTTAAGAAAAATACTATTTCAACACAAAGTTTGAACATGAACTTGTCTGTAAACAGAATAAGTTCATTTTTGTTGTAAAATCCTGCACTCGGCTCCACTTTTCTCATGTTGGACATTTTTCTGATGAGGGTGTCACGGTCAACAGTCAAAACGATCGTCCTTTAAGAGCGTTTGGAAAGAGACAAGTCTTCATTTGTGCTGCTCTGGTGGGAGGGGCCACGTACAGAGACGCTGGAGACGCTGCTGTGATAAACACCACACAAAATTAACACGATTTTAATAGAAAATATCATTAAAATATTTTAGTAGAAAATCAGCCGAGGGCCAGATTAAAGGTCTTGGAGGGCCGGATCTGGCCCCCGGGCCGAGTGTTTGACACCTGTGATCTAAACGAAAGACACTTCCTATCAAATATTTTGTCGGTTTAACCCACAAGTGTTCTCATGTAAACAGACCCTAAGATCCACAAATTAGTAGCTGTGAGTGAACGAGCTGAAACCAAATTAACCCTGGTGTAAACAAAGTGAAGTAGAGCCAGAGTCGATGGAGCCAGAAGTGCGTCCATGCTCACTTCCTGTTTGGAACGAGGTGGACGTGTTTAAAAACTCTGAAGAGCATCTGATAATTCAAACAGAATCTCAAGTCTAATCAGAATCACAGTGTTTGTCAGAAAACTCACAGTCAGATGTTTTTGTTGGTGACGGTTGTGCGACGGTTGTGCGACGGTTGTGCGACGGTTGTGCGACGGTTGTGCGACGGTTGTGCGACGGTTGTGCGGTTCTGTCGGTGACGCTCTGTTGTTTTGTCAGACTGATGTTCTCGAAGCGCGAGGTGGCCGTGGCGAGCGGCTCCGGCTTCATCGTGTCTGAGGACGGACTCATCGTCACCAACGCCCACGTGGTCACCAACAAACAACGAGTCACGGTAAAGAACCGCACATGTTCACGAACACTGAACAAACGACGCGCTGACGCAGTCCCACGTGTGTCCTGCAGGTGGAGCTGAAGAGCGGAGCCACGTTCGACGCTAAAATCAAAGACGTGGACGAGAAAGCCGACATCGCTCTGATCAAGATCGACACGCCGGTGAGTAACGGGTTTAGACCTGGTTTAGACCTGGTTTAGACCTGGTTTAGACCTGGTTTAGACCTGGTTTAGTCCTGGTTTAGACCTGGTTTAGTCCTGGTTTAGTCCTGGTTTAGACCTGGTTTAGTCCTGGTTTAGACCTGGTTTAGATCTGGTTTAGTCCTGGTTTAGTCCTGGTTTAGACCTGGTTTGGTCCTGGTTTAGTCCCTGGTTTAGTCCTGGTTTAGACCTGGTTTAGATCTGGTTTACTCCTGGTTTAGTCCTGGTTTAGACCCGGTTTAGTCCTGGTTTAGACCCGGTTTAGTCCTGGTTTAGACCTGGTTTAGACCTGGTTTAGTCCTGGTTTAGTCCTGGTTTAGACCTGGTTTAGATCTGGTTTAGTCCTGGTTTAGTCCTGATTTAGACCCGGTTTAGTCCTGGTTTAGACCCGGTTTAGTCCTGGTTTAGACCCGGTTTAGTCCTGGTTTAGACCCGGTTTAGACCTGGTTTAGTCCTGGTTTAGTCCTGGTTTAGTCCTGGTTTAGACCTGGTTTAGGACCTGTTTAGTTTAGACCTGGTTTACCTGGTTTAGACCTGGTTTAGCCTGGTTTAGACCTGGTTTAGTCCTGGTTTAGTCCTGGTTTAGACCTGGTTTAGTCCTGGTTTAGGGTTTAGTCCTGGTTTAGTCCTGGTTTAGACCTGGTTTAGTCCTGGTTTAGTCCTGGTTTAGACCTGGTTTAGCCTGGTTTAGACCTGGTTTAGTCCTGGTTTAGACCTGGTTTAGTCCTGGTTTAGACCTGGTTTAGTCCTGGTTTAGTCCTGGTTTAGTCCTGGTTTAGTCCTGGTTTAGACCTGGTTTAGTCCTGGTTTAGACCTGGTTTTAGTCCTGGTTAGTCCTGGTTTAACCTGGTTTACCTTAGACCTGGTTTAGACCTTTTAGTCCTGGTTTAGACCTGGTTTAGTCCTGGTTTAGACCTGGTTTAGACCTGGTTTAGACCTGGGTCCTGGTTTAGTCCTGGTTTAGACCTGGTTTAGACCTGGTTTAGACCTGGTTTGACCTGTTTAGTCCTGGTTTAGACCTGGTTTAGTCCTGGTTTAGACCTGGTTTAGACCTGGTTTAGACCTGGTTTAGACCTGGTTTAGTCCTGGTTTAGACCTGGTTTAGTCCTGGTTTAGTCCTGGTTTGGTCCTGGTTTAGTCCTGGTTTAGACCTGGTTTAGTCCTGGTTTAGACCTGGTTTAGTCCTGGTTTAGTCCTGGTTTAGACCTGGTTTAGTCCTGGTTAGTCCTGGTTTAGTCCTGGTTTAGACCTGGTTTAGTCCTGGTTTAGTCCTGGTTTAGTCCTGGTTTAGACCTGGTTTAGACCTGGTTTAGACCTGGTTTAGACCTGGTTTAGTAAGAATACAAGAAAAGAATCCCTACAAAATCCGACCTTTCTGAAAGTCGTTTCAGCTGAACATGAAGAGTCTGATTTCACATAAATTCTTTAAACTGTGTGGGACATTTCCTTCTGGGCCGGAGCTGCAGAACCTCGGGCGGCCACTTGGTCCACGCTCAGACTGCAGGGTTTAGTCCCTCAGAGGTTCAGGCAGGTTCCCCTGAGGTCCATGTGCGTTTACTAGATCTAGATTGTTCTAAAGACATTCAGGAAAGGTTCTGCTCTGTCCTGTCAGTGGACCTTTTGTAGAGTTTTTTCTCACGACAGCACCTGTTGCATCAAACGTTTAATTGGAACCAGAAGCTCAGTCTGGTTGGTTTTGGTTGGTTTTGGTTGGTTTTGGTTGGTTTTGGTTGGTTTGTGTTGGTTTTGGTTGGTGTGAAAGCTTCAGTCGCACTTGGATCTGCTCTAAACCAAACAGACCGGACCTCAGTAAAGAGGTGGTCTCGGTCCACTTGACTCTTCACCAAAGCCCAAACTCTGGTGTGGTCCCTGTGGTGAGACGTGAACTCAGGTCCAAATCAGAGATGCATCATGGGAGGGGACAGAACCTGCTCTGTGGGTCTTTGGAACAATCTTGGTCTCATAGTCTCCGTCCAGTCTGCAGCCTGAAGTGACCTGATCTGATCTTTTAATGTCAGTCAGAACCACACAGATCAGATTTTTTTCAAATGTGACCCAGGCCACTTGGATCTGTCCTAAAACCCAAACAGATCTGATCTTTAACATGTGACTTCAGTCTGAACGTCCAGGTCACGTTCATCCACACGTGTCACAAACCTTCTTCTCGCCGCAGTGACTCCACTTCCCCACCACTTTATCTCTTTCATGATTTAAAAATCCTCTTTCTGAACTTTTGCACCACATTTCACAAATAATAATCACAGTTTGGACTTGGATCTAAACTGGAAGTGCAGAGTCTGACCTTTGACACTTCAGAGTCTCAGAGCGACTGGTTTTACTGGAAACAGGAAACAGCTGACGATGACGAGTCCAAGTCCAACCCGAGCTCGAACAGAAGATCTAAATATTTGTCTGAACCCGCTGGACGTTGGTCAGGTTTCCGTGCTGTAGTTACCAGACCTTCTTTTTTCTGTTTTATTTTTGTTTAGACCTGGAAATTACAAACAGACTCCAAACGTAACATAAGACAGAAGTGTAACGGTTCATGTTGACTCGTCCCGGTTCAGGACGTTTGGTTCGGTGCAGGTCTGTGCACCAGTGAGTTCGTACAGTTTGTGTTTTTACATTTGGTCACTACATGTGCAGCTCCACGGAGACTCGACTCTTTAATATTCAGGGAGGAACTCGTCCGTGATTGGGGCAGAGTTTCCTGCAGCGCTTTATAGTTCAGGCAGCCACCTTCCCAACATCTGCCCCCCGCCTACGTCCCTCTGAACCACAAGAGTCCTCACAAAACTACAGTCCTCACTTCTGCCTTTTACCAGCGAGAATCAATGGAACTGTTACAACTGTTACAACTGTTGAGCTTTACTTTTTGAAAAGTTTAGTTTTTACATTTTACAAGGAAAACATTTTTTATATTTGAAACATTTGTTGCTTATTTGAGAATATTTTATTGAACTCATGAGTTTTACCAAGCAGCACTTTGCATTTATTTGGTTTAGTCCTGGTTTAGTCCTAGTTTAGTCCTGGTTTTAGACCTGGTTTTAGACCTGGTTTAGACCTGGTTTAGTTTCTGGGAATGAGTGGAATTACCGGGGGAGAAAAAAAAAAGGGGGGGTTATAGCTCAAAATGTGAAAACAGGAAAATCCCGCCATGTAATCCATTTATTTCAACAAAGTAACTGTAATCCAATTACATCATTTATTTTAAATTCCCGTGTGTATAAAGTTCAAACTAATTGTTGGTTTAATAAAAACACAAATTGTTTTGTATTTTGTTCCCAAACTGAACTGAAAATGAACCGAACTGTGACCTGAAAACCGACGTACGAACAGAACAGAACAGAACAGAACCGTTACACGTCTGTCGGAAAACCACATGAACCTCACTGGACTGGATCTACTGAAGGGTGAAAAGTTCTCAAAATGTCGCCTATAAACACAAACACAGATGCACAGACACAGATGCACACACACACACACACACACACACCTGTGTTTAACCAGGTGCACAGTTGTGTTTGTTTAGAAAATACAACCTTTAATTATGTCATAATCACAGCGCGGCTGCTGTCTGCTCGTCCTGTCATCTCCGTGTGCAGGTTGTGGGTTCAACTCCTCGTGTCTGCGTGACGGCTGCTTGTTCTGCCTGTGTTTCGTGGCAGAGTGGTTTGCCCGTGTGGTGTTTTCGTAACGTGCTCGGTCATGTAACCCGCCGCTCTCCTGCACATGCTCAGTGCTCCACTTTCTTGTGTAAGGTTTAATTTTACAATCCCCACGTGGAAAACTTTACCAAATATTCCCGTTTCATGACTCAGCGCTTTTCAGTGAAGCCCCAAAAACCTCAAAGTGCCCGAGGAAATCCAGGTTTAATAATGTGACCCAGGCTTCGCTTACGACAGCGGCCAAACGAGGCAAACTCAGGCCAGAGCTCTGAGCTCTGAATCACGACGTGTAAGGACAGAACAAAGTCGGCCAAAGAGCGAGAGGAGGAAGACGGGAAATTACAAACAGACGAAAGAAAATATTTGTCAGTACTTTTCCTAAACTCAATTTTAACTTTGTGAACCCGTCATTTTGTGGGTCGTCACGATACTAAAACTTCAACCTCAATTTCAGAAATAAAGAACAGACTTGACTCTGATATCGATGAGAATAAAAAACTTCTTTCTTTAGACGATCTCCTGAGATTTTCCACATGAATCTGATCTGTGTGATCCTCTGTGCGCAGGAAGGTTCCACACTGTTCCTTTTCTTACCAAGAGATTTCTTTATTTTTCGGGTCAGCTGCTCTTTCCAGTTATTTAAAAACTGTTTTGATTTGAGAGTTAGTTGGAAATGATTTTTTTTGATATTTAGAGATAATTTGTTCATTTTGAACCATCATCATACAGATTTAGTTTAGTTTATTAGAACATTAAAGTTTGAATTGGATGTGAATAAAGTCGTATCATCAGAGAACATTACTGGGATAAAATGTTGAGATATTTAACAAAAGTCGTTTATGTACAATAAAAATAATAAAGGACCTAAAATGGAGCAAATAAAACTCTGTAGCCACTTCAAAAACATTTTATGAAAACCATATTTGTATAATTTTGCAAAAAGAACTGTATGATCGACTCTAACAAAAACTTTTGACAAATCCAAAAAAATACTACAAGTAAAATGACTGTTGTCTAATGTCGACGTTATGTCATTTAATAAATGAACTAAAGCCACAGACGTGAGTTTAACAGAAACCATATTGATACTTGTAAAGAATTATATTATAATTATTATATATAATGAATTATTATTGATATAAGAAAATAACCTTTTATAAACCACTTTCACTAAATACTTTTGAAAAGTAAAGTCAAATAGACATGAGTCTAGAGTCTTGAAACAGACTCTGCTTTAAATAAAGATTCAACTGGACTTGAACCAACATCTTATTAGATAGATTTTTATCTCTACTGTTCCCAGATCAGATGTTTGGAGACGTGTGCAGACGCTCGTCTGTCAGCAAAACTGTTTTAAACAAATGTATAAAGAGAAAGCCACACTTGGGAACATTCTCCATGGACATAGACACTGTTTGTTTTATGCCATAAAGTGAAAGATTATAGCCAAAGAAACAACGTGTCCCTGGAGTCGAGCACGAGAAGCTCGTCCAGGTCAAACTGGAGTCAAACTGGAGTCAAACTGGAGTCAAACTGGAGTCAGGTTTGATGTTTTTCTGTGGTTTTCAGTGGAATAAAAACATCCAGAGTGAAAAACAAACAGACGAGACAAAACAGGGAGCAGAATGTGATGAGTGGATGAAAATGTAGGTCAGATGTTTTTGTGTCAACCCTGAGTCATCCTCAAATATTTCCTGAGCGTTTCATCTTTTCCTTCTCTTTCTCTCTCTCTTTTCTCACACACAAACACTCTTCTTCTCTTCTCTTCTTCTCTTCTCCTCCTCCTCCTCGTCGTCGTCTTCCTCTCGGTCTCATGTTGGTCTGATGTTCTCGTCTTGGCTCCAGCTGTTGTGGTGGTGACTGAGCTGTTTGAACTTGTCTCTGAATCGGAGCCACAGCTGCAAATTTCAATCTCAAATCTGAAACGTCAAATAGTTTTAGATCAAATCCGTCCAAATCTGCCCAAATCCGTCCGAGTCTGCACAAATATCTGACGCTCTGAATCATTTTTTTTTACCAGAACTGCAGAAAATCATGCCAGAATTCAAAACCAAAGACACCTGGACTCTGGTCTCTGATCTGGTCCCTGGTCTGGTCTCTGGTCTGGTCTCTGATCTCTTATCTGGTTCTGAGGTCTGGTTCTGGGGTCTAGTTTTGGGGTCTGGTTTCTGGTCTAGTTTTGGGGTCTGGTTTCTGGTCTAGTTTTGGGGTCTGGTTTCTGGTCTAGTTTTGGGGTCTGGTTTCTGGTCTAGTTTTGGGTCTAGTTTTGGGGTCTGGTTTTGAGGTCTGGTTTTTCTGGTCTAGTTTTGGGGTCTGGTTTCTGGTCTAGTTTTGGGGTCTGGTTTCTGGTCTGGTTTTGGGGTCTGGGTCTGGTTCTGATTTCCTTGAGTGAGTGAAGTGGGTCAGTGGGACAAACATGTGGAAGCAGTTTTTTTTTTTTTTTTTTTTGAGACTAAAAACCCGACTCGGTCCTGATCCTGATCCTGATCCAAGATGAAAATAAAAACTCTCTTTGTTAAGACAAAATCTGTGATTTTCCACATTAAATGGCAGAACTTTCTGTTCTGTTTCCATGTGTCCTTCTGCTCCTCTGTGTTTTTAAAGTCCGTTCTCTCTCATCTAACGTCCTTTTCCGTTTGTGGGATAAAAGACAAAAATAAAAGATGGAGGAAACTGTGTGCAGATGTTTGGACGGACGCTGTAGTGACTCTGACTCTGACATAACCTGGTCCTGGTCCTGGTCCTGGTCCTGGTCCTGGCCCTGGTCCCGGCCCTGGTCCCGGCCCCGGTCCCGGCCCTGGTCCCGGGGGCGAGGCGGGGCATCTGGATTAACTGTTCTGGTTTTAAACTAACTTTGACCCATAAACGTCTCGTAAACAAGCGGAAATATCAGGATTTATGAGACGCCCCGAGTCAACGAGGAAAAGACTGAAAGGAAAAGGATGTTTTAGTCCTGAGTCTGGTTAGTCTTGGTTTAGTCTTAGTTTAGTCTTGGTTCAGTCCTGGTTCAGTCTTGTTTCAGTTCTGGTTTAGTTCTGGTCCAGTCCTGGTCCTGGTCTGGTCCTGGTCCAGTCCTGGTCCTGGTCTGGTCCTGGTCTGGTCCTGGCTCAGTCCTGGTCCTGGTCTGGTCCTGGCTCAGTCCTGGTCCTGGTCCTGGTCTGGTCCTGGCTCAGTCCTGGTCCTGGTCTGGTCCTGGTCCTGGTCCTGGTCTGGTCCTGGTCTGGTCTGGTCCTGGCTCAGTCTGGTCTGTCTGTCCTGCTCAGTCCTGGTCCTGGTCTGGTCCTGGTCCTGGTCCTGGTCTGGTCTGGTCCTGGTCCTGGTCTGGTCCTGGCTCAGTCCTGGTCCTGGTCCTGGTCTGGTCCTGGCTCAGTCCTGGTCCTGGTCTGGTCCTGGTCCTGGTCCTGGTCTGGTCCTGGTCCTGGTCTGGTCCTGGCTCAGTCCTGGTCCTGGTCTGGTCCTGGCTCAGTCCTGGTCCTGGTCTGGTCCTGGTCCTGGTCTGGTCCTGGCTCAGTCCTGGTCCTGGTCTGGTCCTGGTGTCTGTCCTGGCTCCAGTCCTGGTCCTGGCTCAGTCCTGGTCCTGGCTCAGTCCTGGTCTGGTCTGGTCCTGGCTCAGTCCTGGTCCTGGTCTGGTCCTGGTCCAGTCCTGGTCCTGGCTCAGTCCTGGTCCTGGTCCTGGCTCAGTCCTGGTCCTGGTCTGGTCCTGGTCTGGTCCTGGTCCAGTCCTGGTCCTGGTCTGGTCCTGGTCCTGGTCCTGGTCTGGTCCTGGTCCTGGCTCAGTCCTGGTCCTGGTCTGGTCCTGGCTCAGTCCTGGTCCTGGTCCTGGTCCTGGTCTGGTCCTGGTCCGGTCCTGGTCCAGTCCCGGTCCTGGCTGAGTCTCGGTCCTGCCTCTGTGACAGGTGAAGCTCCCGGTCCTGTCTCTGGGTCGTTCTTCTGACCTTCGTCCTGGAGAGTTCGTGGTGGCCATCGGGAGTCCGTTCTCCCTGCAGAACACGGTGACCACGGGGATCGTCAGCACCACCCAGAGAGGAGGACGCGAGCTCGGCCTGAGGAACAACGACATGGACTACATCCAGACGGACGCCATCATCAACGTGAGACCTCCTCTGCATCTGCTGACGCTCTCACCTTCTACCCCTGCATCATCTCACCTTCTGACCCTCCTCTCACCCTCCTCTGTTCTCCTCTGTTCCTCTCTCCTCTGATGTTCTCCTCTGTTCCTCTGCTCCTCTGATGTTCTCCTCTGTTCCTCTGACGTTCTCCTCTGACCTTCTCACCTTCTGACCCTCCTCTCACCCTCCTCTCGCCCCTCTGCTCCTCTGATGTTCTCCTCTGTTCCTCTGCTCCTCTGACGTTCTCCTCTGTCTCCTCTTCTCCTCTGATGTTCTCCTCTGTTCCTCTGCTCCTCTGACCTTCTCCTTTGCTCTTTTCTCCTTTTGCTGAATGAAAACGTTTGACTCTTGTTCTTCTCGTTCCAGTACGGTAACTCTGGAGGTCCGTTAGTGAACTTGGTGAGTACAGACTTGTGTACTTCCTCGTGTTCTTGGAGAACTTCATGTATTTGCAGTAACCCGTGGTAGTATTTGTAGTACTCGTAGTATTTGTAGTATTGTTTGGTCCGTGTGCACCGAGGACTCGCTGAGCTCATGTTTGGCTCCAGCTCCACATCTGAGACTCATTATGATGTTTTGAGTCGACGGGAGCAGAGACACGACTGGACTCACTTAGACCTGGTTTAGTTCTGGTTCAGACCTGCTTCAGACCTGAATCTGTGTGTCATTCATTTATTTGTTTTTCAAAATAAACCAAAAATTAAAAAAAAAAAAACAAAACAAAAAAACTGTTTTCTTTCATTTTCATTATTTGTCTCCAAAACCAAAACGAAAAAAAAAAAACAGATAAAAATTAGATTTTTCAGTTTTGTGTTAAATGACAAATGGAAAAAACAGATAACGGACTGAACCAGGACTAAACTGTTTTACTTCCTGGTCTCAGTCCTGGTCTGGTTCCGGTCTGGTCCCGGTCTGGTCCTGGCCTCAGTCCTGGTCTTAGTCCCAGTCTCAGTCCCAGTCTGGTCCCGGTCTCAATTCTGGTCTGGTCCTGGCCTAAATCCTGGCCTTAGTCCCAGTCTCAGTCCCAGTCTGATCCTGGTCTGGTCCCGGTCTTTTTCCGGTCTGGTCCTGGACCTGGTTTGGTCCTGGTTCAGTCCGTTATCCGTTTTTTTTTCCATTTTTCATTTAAACACAAAATCAGAAACTGAAAAAAAGAATCATTATCTGTTTTTCCATTTTGGTTTTGGAGACAAATAATGAAGAAAACTGTTGTTTTTTCATTTTCTTATTTTTGGTTTTATTTTGAAAAACAAATGAATCACAGATTGACCTGAGATAGACCCGGTTTAGACCTGGTTTAGATCTTGGTTTGATCCTCAGAAATGTTCTGAGTGGGTTTGACGTTTCCTCAGAGTTCAGCTCCAGTCAAATGAAGCTCATTGAGGCTGCAGCTACAGGAGTGAATCTGGAGCTGAGTTCAGTATCAGGAATTTATTTACGGACAAAAGAGTGAAATAAAAACCTCAGGATCCTGCAGAGTCATTTAAGACCAAAACAACGAGGCTCTGTGGTCGGACCTCATTCATACCTCGTTTAGTCCTGGTTTAGTCCTGGTTTAGTCCTGGTTTAGTCCTGGTTTAGTTTACCTGGGTCCTGGTTTAGTCCTGGTTTAGTCCTGGTTTAGACCTGGTTTACCTGGTTTCCTGGTTTAGTCCTGGTTTAGTCCTGGTTTAGACCTGGTTTAGTCCTGGTTTAGACCTGGTTTAGTCCTGGTTTAGTCCTGGTTTACCTGGTTTCCTGGTTTAGTCCTGGTTTAGACCTGGTTTAGACCTGGTTTAGTCCTGGTTTAGTCCTGGTTTAGACCTGGTTTACCTGGTTTAGTCCTGGTTTAGTCCTGGTTTAGACCTGGTTTAGACCTGGTTTAGTCCTGGTTTAGACCTGGTTTGGACCTGGTTTGGACCTGGTTTAGACCTGGTTTAGACCTGGTTTGGACCTGGTTTAGCTCCAGTTTTCAGACCCTGGTTTTGTAAAGTCTGACACTGATTATTTTGGTCGTGTCTTTATAAATTCTGGTGCAGTATTTGAATCGTCTGGTCTTTCGCAGGACGGGGAGGTGATCGGGATCAACACTCTGAAGGTCACGGCCGGAATCTCCTTTGCCATTCCCTCCGACAAGATCCGACAGTTCCTCTCCGAATCCCACGACAGACAGGCCAAAGGTACACAAGGTTTTTTAGATTTTATGGTCATTTTCAAGCGCGATTACGACACCAAAACAGAGACACACGTGGAATCTGTGTATAAAACACAAATAACAGAGACAGACTGAAGATCCACAGGTTTAATCACAACACAAGACAAAAACATGAATATCCAGAATAAACACCAGAGTCACACACTCAACTTGAAACTACAAGAACGTGTGTGGAATGATTCCTGTGTTTAGATTCAGACATAATGTGATAATAAATCAAATATTTTCTGTTTCAGGAAAAACGTCACCAAAGAAAAAATACATTGGGGTCAGAATGATGTCGCTCACTCCCAGGTAAGACTCCTGTGTGTGTGTGTGTGTGTGTGTGTTTATTTATGTATTTATTTATTTATTGATTGAACAGGGACAGTGCAGATTCATGAACATCTACATCACTGCAGTGTAAATATGACAGATTATAGCAAAAATGTTCATTTCTGTCTTTAGTCCTTTGGAAGTTTTCGATGTCGTGACGTTCACTCACTTTGTAGTTGTTTTTTAACTCTATTTAACTTTATGTTTTAGTAAGTAAGTAAATAAGTAAGTCTTTTTTTTCTTTAGCACTTTTCACACACATTTTTGTCACAAAGACACTTTACAAATCATTATTCAGCAATATTCATTCACTCTACACCTGCTGAAGGTGAACGACTGTTGTAGCCACAGCTGCCCTGGGGCAGACTGAACCACGGCCACCAGTCTGCGCCATCGGTCCCTCCGACCACCACCATCACTCACACACACACACACACACACACACACACACACACACACACACACCACTCTCATACTAGGCAATGTGGGTGAAGTGTCTTGCCCAAGGACACAACGACACATATTCCCACTGGCTCCTCCTGTGGAAACAGATTTTCCCAGAATCTCCATCCAAGAACTAAGACCAGACCAGACCCGGTCCTGCTGAGCTTCTGAGATCTGACAGGATCAGGCTTTGACAAACTGGTTGTTT